ATTTGTTTTTATACCATTCACTATATGGAGTCTGTTTGTTTTTAATACCATTCACTATATGGAGTCTATTTGTTTTTATACCATTCACTATATGGAGTCTATTTGTTTTTAATACCATTCACTATATGGAGTCTATTTGTTTTTATACTATTCACTATATGGAGTCTAGTTGTTTTAATACCATTCACTATATGGAGTCTGTTTGTTTTTAATACCATTCACTATATGGAGTCTGTTTGTTTTTATACCATTCACTATATGGGGTCTATTTGTTTTAATACCATTCACTATATGGAGTCTATTTGTTTTTATACTATTCACTATATGGAGTCTAGTTGTTTTAATACCATTCACTATATGGAGTCTATTTGTTTTTAATACCATTCACTATATGGAGTCTATTTGTTTTTAATACCATTCACTATATGGAGTCTATTTGTTTTTAATACCATTCACTATACGGAGTCTAGTTGTTTTAATACCATTCACTATACGGAGTCTATTTGTTTTTAATACCATTCACTATACGGAGTCTATTTGTTTTTAATACCATTCACTATACGGAGTCTAATAGACTCCATATAGTGAATGGTATTAAAAACAAATTGTTTTTAATACCATTCACTATATGGAGTCTAATATAGTGAATGGTATTAAAAACAAAGGAGTCTATTTGTTTTTAATACCATTCACTATATGGAATCTATTTGTTTTTAATACCATTCACTATATGGAGTCTATGTATTGGATTATATTGAATAACCTTATGATTTTTTTACCATTTAAAACATTCATCATAAAGAAATAACAAATAAAATTTGTATTTTCTATGCAAAATTCCTCGGGAAACTCCAGCAGTAATTACTTGAATTAGTTTTGGTATTGGTGGTATTTCTGTTTAAATTTTTTTTGTGATTTATGTGTTGCTAGTGTTCCTGTCATCAACAAAGTCATGGATTCACGAGCAGTTTGGTAAAGTAAATAGTTTTAAAAAAATGTTTTAAAAAGCCAGTGAAACTTCACATATTAAGTTATTAATTATTGCTGGTTTTATAACAAAGGTTCATGATAAATGCTGTATTGAATAGTAACTTTATGCACTAGTTCGAGAAATACCACCAACAGTTTCTGATCATTAGTGGTGTTTTCATATTAGATCATCATACATAAACATGGCTTTATCATTAAGATTTTACCATATTCCTTAATAAAATTCATTCTAGGAAGCTTGTCGATAAATTTTTAAATTCTTTGATATAACTTGTGAATTTCATATTGTATATTAATGTTCAACAATTCAGTTAAAAAAAAAAGGAAAAAGTAATTAAAACCCTGTGTGTGTGACTTCTTTACAAGGAACAATGAAGTATGATAATCCATTAAGAACAATGTTCTTTTGAAAGTTTATACTTATGAAGAAAATATTTTGTAACAATGGAACGATTATTGTATTTGTAACTAGCTTTATCATAATAATCCTGTAATGTAAATACTAATCTTCAAACTAGTTTATAATGATGCATTAAAGTTAATGTCGCATTGTAAAGTAAGTTGAATCACATAACTAGTCAGGATTAAACCATCAACAAAAGTTTTGCTGAGAATTAATTTTATGAGGTTTTTCAAGTAATGCAGCCTATAATCATCCACTTACTAATTATCTATGTGAAAAAGAAAGGTACTTTCAGAATTTTTTATTTTATAGATTTAGCCTAATCATTCTTTATATTTTTATTATTGACAGACAAATCCTATATGCGACATGTGGGTAATCTGAGCAGTGACCCTTTATTCAAGTTGATGAATGGAAAAATCAAAGAAATGCTTCGTGTAATCCCAAAGAATGTCACATGGGGAGGTATTTATCTTTCCTAATGTTAAAAATATTCAGTACATACAAAATATTTTTTTTACCTCATAAATTACTTATTGCTTTTATTTTATACCAGTGCGATCCACATATTGTATCATATTTGATAGTTTTATGAGTGTTTGTTACAATATTCATTGTAAAATACTGATGAAATTCTTGAAATTTCTGTGTAAAATAGAGGACGTAGAGGACCAATCGGTAATTAGTAGGATTAGCTGAAATATTGATGGTGCTTTTGTTTAAATTTGCGTGTGACTCATAGGTTACTAGGGGCCATGTAACCAACAAAGTTAAAGACACACGGGCAGCTTTGTGCATTTTAGAAAATTTGTTTAAAATGCAGATGAGGTCCATATAAACCACATCGGTAATTTTAGGGGTAAAAACAAAATTCAATATGAAGACAGCATTTAAAAATGATAAGAAGGTTCATGTGAAAAAAATGTATAGTTTTACAAATTCACACAAGATTTTCTTATTAATATAAAATTATTTAAAAAATATATTATTATATTTATATTATATTTATTATATATGAAATACTTTATTGCTTTTAAGTATTTATGTCTAATTTTATCCACATTTTTATTGAATGCTAAATTGTTTTATGCGAATCTATCCCTGCTAACAAAAAAAAACGAAATCCTGCAGCACAAGTGTTTTTGAAAAGTGGAGTGTTTACCCCTGATGAAAAAAGGTTCACTTTTTGAAAGATGTTGGGTTATAACGTTTTGTATTTTTGTCTTAACCTGATTTTTTGAAGCTATATGCTTTCCTAACATCATGAATTAATATCCTTGCTATTAGATAAAAATGTGAAGAACACTTAAACATATACAGATAGTTTTGGATGTGGGGTTTTGTGAATTGATTTATACATGAACTTGTATGATTATAGTGTGTATTGTTTGCCACTTAGGAGGGCAAAAACAGAAAAAAACTGTATTTTCCATAAAAGATCTTGTGAATGTCTTTTATATAAAGGCTTGACTGTTGAACAAGTATTGGACATAAATCTTATTTTTTCTGAATGCGACAAGAGCCTGGTTACACTAACATATAACTGAAGGTAATCTTTGCGGCAAATTATTGTTTGTAAAATGTTTATAGTTTAATTATATGCAGAAAGCTGTTTTTCTTTTTACATAGGACTTAAGATGATTTTTATATCAGCAGTTAGAAAATTCTGGTCCTACCCTTTCAGTATAATAATATCTGAATAGAAATATACAGTGTGTCTATAAAGTCGTTTTACAATTTAAAAAATTTATTACAAAGGCAATGGATAAGATATCTTTATCAGACTTGTTCTATTGTACTCAGTGGTTTTCAAATGAGGTAAAAAAAACTTAGTTCCAAAAACAAGTCTAGAAATATATTGAGTTAAGCGTAATAGTTCTGACATTTTTTTTCTTACATATTTTATTTAACATTAAAAACGTATATTATTTAACACAATCTCTACTTTGTATCAGTAACCAATGTGGTAACATGTATGATTATAGATGGCAAAAAAAACAAACTATTTTATGACGTTTTACTTGACAAAAACTGATCAAACTAACCACTTTTCATCTTTTCTTTGCATTACTTAGCAAAAACAGGGAATGCTGAGATTAGTGTGATGCCCTTTAACATCAAAAGTGTATTACTTTGTGGTTGTGGGCTGAGCCTGTGGTAGAACTTTAAGTTTCAGAGCTAGCAAGCCAGATATGAATCCTTGCAATACCTCAAAATATCCCAAGTTTGTAATAATGAAGCTAACATGCCATATAGTGTTTTTGTTACAATCATACTTAAACATGTTATGTTTGATAAACTATTTTCCAGGTCAGTCAGGGGCTGTATTTGATGCCTTAAAAGGAGATTTCATGAAACCTGTCACTGACGTTGGTGAGAATTGTTTAGATTTTATTTTTGTTGTCAGTTACAATTTGATAATTTGTATTTTAGTATGGAAAACTCTGACTACCATTATAGCCATGATACCTGGTAAAAACAAAATTTCAGACTTGTCACAGAAATTGAGATTTATTTGAACACCCACAAATGTAATTTCCTCAGGAAGAAAACTTAAAAGTGTTTGGAAGCCTGTGAGTTTAAATATACTTCAATATTTATGTGAAGTATTAGCTAGCCTAAAGAAATTTTTTTTTCAACCTCATTACATTTGGAAGCTATCTACAAATTGTATAGCTAAACTATATAAATAACTGAAGAAGAAATACCAAAATGGATATATATGGGGTCAATTACTTTATATTAAAACAATTTTGAATATGTAAATTGGTGATTCACACAATAATCACAGCCATATAAAGTCTCAGTGGTACAGAATATATCAGAAGTACATTATGACATTGTTTGGCATTTTGCAAGTAACATGATACCACTGATTTTGAAAATGGTATATAACAGTCTTTCCAATGCAAAACATTCTTACTCTTAGATCATAAATATATGTACAGAGTGGTGATTTAAAAGTTCCAAAATGAGGTATTACTTGTACTTAATGACATTGGAAAACAAAGGAATGTGGATCAATTTGGGGCACCTGGACTATCCAGAAAGAGATCTGCAACAGGTGGGAATCCATAAACACAAAAGATTGTGACTGTAGCTACCCACATATCCTATACAACAGTACACAACATAATCAAGTATTTCCATCTGGAAACAAGGCTCAGATGGTATGGGTTCACAAAAGCCATCCACATGTCACAAGCAACAGTAATAAAAATGGATCTCTGTTTGGAAAAGCAACACAAGTTGCTTCTACAACATATCCATTTAACCATCACATACCTCAAGTATCTGAAGAATGAAATAGGTATTCATGCTACCCCATACCAAGGCATACTAGTCAAATCATCAGAAGCAGCACCTATGGATTTCCGTGCAATCAGAGTTTTGAAATAAGGTGCTCAGAAATTGTTGTCATGATAGGTGAATTATGAAAATCCTGCAGGGATTAGTGGTGTGCTTTGGACATGACATCATTTTGATGGAGTCTTTTGCAATGGAAACTATGCTGCAGAGTTATTATCAAGATGTATAGTCATCAGATGAAGCATGACAATATGGTCTGTAATGATGTGGGGAGGCTCCAAGATTAATATGATCTACTTAACCCCCTGTAATATGTATTCATAAAGTAGATATTAATTAGTTTCTTTGCAGTAAAATTAGAAAAAAAAAGGGCCAAATAATTAAAACTTCAATAGGTGATAGTTTTGAAAACAGTTTTAATAATTGATACTGTTTCATTGAACTTACTGAAATAAGTATGCAAGTCCATGTAATGGGTACATGAAAGTACTTTTTCTAGCTATCATTTGTAAGATAACTTGCTATCTTAAAATGATATACTGTTAAAGCCATGTAAATTGGCTCTCAGGCAGAAAAAAATTTTGTGGAACTCGCTATTTGTCAACATGTATTCTAAACAATATTTTCATCACTAACTGGGTAAGAAAATAAAAATCCATCAGTAGGTCAGAAAATAATTGGCATGCACCTGAGAACCAACTAATTAGCTTTGTAAAAACAAACTAATTTGCAAAGATGATTTACATCACTATGACAGAATTTATTCTTATAATAAAATACTTGTCTCTTTTGTTGTCCTGTTCTAGTGGACATCCTGCTGAACACCACAGATTTGAAAGTTGTTGTGTATAATGGTCAGTTGGATCTGATTGTTGATGCTCCAGGTAGGTGTTAGTAAATGTCTGAAGGAAATTGAATTATTAGTCCTAAGAAACCTTTTTCCAGTTTTAAATGTGTTTAGAGACAACATTGTTGTTTTGTTTTTTTTTGTAATAAAAATTATATTTGAAAGTTGTGTGTGATTGTGTGTATAAATGAATAACTAGATTTATTTATGGATGTTTTGGGTAAGTTTCACTAAAATATTTACTTGCAATGTGGTTGTGTGGTTGCTTAATTAGTTTTCAGAGCTTAATTTTCTAACTTAATAGTAATTGGTGTTAATGCTAGTTATTATTTCTGAAGATACAGTTAATAACTATTGTTGTACATAATACATTCTTTGGTGACTTAATTAGGAACCATCACAGCATGTCCATCAACTCTTTTGTGCCTCTGTAAATATAAATTGGATATGTGAAATTAAATGATCTCAGGACTTGCGTAAACCCACAGTTGTAGTCCTGGTTCATCCTCTTGTCCATGATGGACAGAAAGTCTCTTTGACTAACACACACACAAAAATGACACATTCTCTACAGTTAAATATTTTGAGTGTAACTACTGGAATTTTTGACCAATTAAGAATCTAGTTAATTCATTTTCTTGACCTTGTTTATGGCATAGATGTTTCACATGATAAAATAATTGAAAACTTGTGTGTTGGTTTAATTTAAGGATGGGCTTAATTTGAAAAATGGCAAAGGCTAATAAAGGGGAGAGCTAGTGAATTGATAGTTCAGTTTTAACAAAATTCTGATGAGACTGTTTGGAGAAAGAACTAGAAATTAAATTTGTATGTTTTTGAGTAAACCACAAGTGATTATGTCAAAACTGAGAAAATTCATTAGAAAATGAATTTTTCAGAAAAATATTTATGCACAATATGCAACAAACTTATAAACTATGCTTCACAGAGTTGCCCTACAATTTTGATACATGGAACTACAAAAAAAAACATAAGTGTTAAATGACAAACTAATTTTGGCTCATTTACTTTAAAGTTTAAGGTGTCAACTGTCAAATAGATGAAAAAAAAAAGACACGAGGTTGTACCAGAAAGCTTCTAATCTTCAAAACTTTTACAGAGGAGCATGCCATGCACTACAGCAGCGTTTCCCAAACTATGTTCCGTGGAATACTGTTGTTTCATCTGAGATTGATAGGTGCTCCATGAAAAAATCATGATTTTAAATTTTAATAAAATATTTAACACTTTTTGTACGATCATAACTTATTATGAAATATTTTCCTATTTATTAGAATTAGATAATATCGATTTCGCATTGAATAATTACAGAAGATGCCATATCTATTCTACATATCTTAGTGGAGAGGTTTGTACCTAAAATATATTATAAGCATAAAAAATGTAAAAATTCATTTCTATGTAATTTGATTAAATAAATAAATGAATAATATATAAATATAGAGGGCGCTGCACATGCAACATACCCTCTACAATGATATTTCTCTGTCTAGTGTTCCGTAAGCTTTTTCCCAGCTGAAAAGTGTTCCATGGCCAAAAAAGTTTTGGAAATGCTGCACTACAGCATTGGATTCAGAATTTTTTGTTCAACCCTTCTTATCTTTGGGTGTTATTCTTTCAGCTGAAACATTTAACATAAAGAGCACTCAAGTGAATATAAGTTTAGATGCCCCTGGTGTCTCAGTAGTAAGCTTGACTCAAAAATTTGGGTTTGATCCCTGCAGTGGGTACAGCACAAAGTCAATTGTGCAGCTTTGCAGTTAAAACAAATTAATGTAAACATTATTTAGTTGTTTTTTATGTTTCATATGTGCGTGTCTGTAAATATGTTTCTGTGAAATTTTCTATCAGAAGTTAATCATAAGGTTCAACTAATTGATTACTCACACGAGACTGGAATAATTGGAAACACTAATTTTTATTAATTACATAGGCCTATGATGGTTTTATTGTCTTGAAATTTTTTAATGTTCTACAGTAATTCCTGTACGCTGAATCCAAAGCGATATCCATTTCTCTCCATCATGTACAAATTTTTCACAAAACGTTATAACGCAATACATAAAAGAAAGACCACAACATGTGGTTTTGAGACTAAAAGATGTAGATTTCACAAAATATCAGGATAAATGAGGATGTATATTTGTTTGACATCAATGTTCTTTTCTTCAGTTTTGTTTGTATTTTTGTTAACAAACATAGATCAAAAATAATGTTCATTGTCGAAAACAAAATAATAATTTGATCTAAATAAGAATTTTTTTTCTTTCCGATTTGTAAAAAAACCCTTACGTGATAGAAAAAAATTAATATTATTTTCGAAATCTGCGTACCTGAATTATGTAAAATCCGTTATTAAAACCAAAACAACTTTTATGAAACTTATATTCACTGGTCTGTATTATTTTTGCAAGTTGTGACTAATTTATTTAGCTGAACAGCCTTGAATTAATCAAAAATAGTAATGAGAAATCATAATGACAATATTTTGATTACTTTGGTAGTTAGAGTAATTGAAATTGTATCAATTAACAGATTATTTTAAGTGACAATAATCGAGTTACCACTCAGCTCTACTACTTTCCAGTGATCAGGTTTCAACAATTTACTGCTTTTAGTACCATGTAGTGTATAATATGATTTTATACCTTACTTTATTAGTTGAAAGATAATCTCAAACTAAATAATCAAATTATGCTGATAACCAAGTTTGTATTATCAAAACATTCACATTGAATTTATAATCTATGTTAACAAAAAGGAGTTCATTTGTTGGCAAGGTACATTACAGTGGATTGACAGTCTCAAATGGCCAGGTATAAATGGTTTCAAGAAAGCCGAGCGTACTCCGATTGTCTTGAAAGGCCAACGCACAGGAGGTTTTGTCCAATCTTTCAAGAACTTCCAGTTTTTCCAAATACTGAAGGCAGGTCACATGGTGAGTTTCTGAAAAGGGTTATTGTTTGTGATAAAACGTTTAAAATATTTCAAATGCCTAATAATTAATTTGTTGTTTTAATTAGCAATTAGTGTGCATGTAATGGAAGAGGACATTATGTTTTGCTGTTGAATGTTTAGTGTATCCTATTTGTCATAAGAAGAATGACAGTAAAGCTCAACTTCTGGAAATTAGACCTAATAGGCCTGACAAAAATGTTATAATTTCACTTCCCTTGGTGTCCCCGTATTCAAGTATTGTTACATTATAGATTACATACACAGTGTCGTAATGTATTATCCTTCTAATATATTGCTCTTCTCAATTTGAGCTATTCAGAATTGCATGAAATGTTGTCTCATATAGTTCTTTGAATATTTAATACACCGTGTTGAAAGAACACACAATATATGTTATATAAAAATATTTCCTTGAGTCTTTGCTAAGTGCTCAAAGCAATTTTTTATTTTGAGCTTTATAATCACTGTAAAGTCCACAGTGCCATCTTACTTCTAATTGTTTCAGAAAGTCACCTAAATGTTACTTATTGCTACTGAAATTGTAATATACCCCCCCCCCCCCAAAAAAAAAACACTTTCAGTCCAGAGTTAGAAACAGCTTTACATGAATCATGTTCATAATTTAATTGGTTATATAAAGTTTCCACTGTGTGTGACTGTAAGAAATCATGTCGACAAATGCTAAGCTTTTGTCATAAAAATAACAACTCTCTCTCTCTCTCTTTCAGTCAGTGAATATTTTCAGTATACCTACTATATAATATAGTCAACCCTAGGAAGAATTGTGGCTTGTGTGAAATTTGTATTCGGTGCCACTACCCCTGTGTATTCCTGGAGCTCATTTCTGTCATAAACATGCCGTCTCCAAGTATTATTAGTCTCAAAGTGGGTTCCTTGTCATCGATTTTAAAAAGTAGAAATTAATCATTTCTTTTCAGAAAATAGAAATACATAGAAGTTGAGTATGTTATATTAAAACTGTTTTGGAGTCACCTTGCTGTTACAGTCTATGTGACCATATCTGGTGATACTCTGTCTAATGACCATGTGTCTTCAAAATAATCTTGCAGCATAGATTCTATTTGGAAAACCTCTGTCCTAAGGCTATTATTTCCAAGGCAAACCACTCCCTGCATAATTTCCATAATCCATCTAGTGTATGAGAACAGTAATTTCCAAGTGCCAATTTCACAAGTATAGTTGCACAGAAATCCATAGGTGCCACATCAGGCAAGTTGACTGGTATTTATTTGTATGGAATAGCATGAATACCAGTTTCATTCTCCAGTTGCTTGAGGTGATGCGATGGTTTGATGGATGTGTTGTGGAAGCAACTGTGTATGTGACTTGTGTTGTTTTCCAGATAGAGATCCAGACTGTTTCTCGTAACATGTGGATGGTTTTTGTGTTCATGGATTTTCACTTGTTTATACAGCACCATGCTTTGTTTACCGTGACTGGAGTATAACCTGTTACATGTTTCTTTCTGAATGGTTCTGGTGCTCCAAGTTCATCCATATTTCTTTATTTTACAGTACTGTTAACTACAAAGGATATCCATTTCAGAAATTCTAAACCCCTGATATGAAACCAAACAATGTCGAAACGTAGTTCTGATCAATTCCATTCCGCCACAAGTTTATATTAGCTGTGGTTGTCATGTGACTTGCTGATATGCATATTCAAAATTGTACTACACCCTTTGTAGTTTCAAAATGTACACATTTTTAGACACTTTAAAAAACATACATGATTTTTGGAAGAAATGGGAACCTTCCTTGTTCTTTGATAACCAGAAGAATTATTACTGAATCTGACAGTGAGATTTTTTTTGTATGTGTTTGAATAAGTTTAAGAAAAACTTAGATAATTATGTTGCTGTTACTATTTTTAAAATGCATGAAAATATCAAATAAAATATATATTTATTCTGAACATTATTAGGTACCCACTGATGCTGGGGAAGCAGCCTTGAAGATGCTTACTATGATAACAAGGAACAAATAAAATATATCAGAATTCAATGCATGCAATGAACCTAGACTAATGACTATGAAGAATAAGTAGTTAAACTTAGAACTACAGCTTCATCTGCATGACTGCTTAAATGATAGTTGTTTTATTATTATTATTTTTTTTCTTGTGTTATTTTGGTATATGCCACAGAAAAAAAAAGAATATGAAAAAGAGCTTACAGCAACGTTTTAAATGTACAGAAGTACAGTTTTTGCCAAAGATTGTGTAATTACATATCGATGTGATTTTTCTTTTTATTATTTGTAAGTTAAACATATAGTCACAGTATTTATACAAAAACTGTTTTCATTCTTTATAATACCTAAGAATTACATGAAAAATTAACTTACAAAACATAGATATAAACACAATAATTCTAAATGTGATTTGTGTTAAAGGTTTTAGAAATTTTTAATATTTTAATAAAAAAGAATAAATATGGCAGGGGTTGTAGTATAATTATATTAGCATCAGCTATCCAAGTTATAAGTTTCTAAATCTCGCATTTTGTTTCAGTGAAATATATAAGATTTTCAGTTATATATATATATATATATATATATATAAG